CGTCGTCGCGCATTCCTCGAACGCCGCGCCGTTTGGTCGTACTGTCCCCGTCACCTAATTAAATCTAACACACATCGAGTTACGCAGAGATAATACTTCCTAGCTTAATTATGGTACTATACGGCTGTAAAAGTCTTTAGATACGGAAGCATATGCGTCGGACGTGAGTGTACTTGTTTGTTCATACGTGGGTGTGTGCGTGTGTGTGTGTGTGTTCTGTATGCGATTTCTCGCGCGCGACGCAACCGTGCGACGCGCAGCGTCCGTTCGCGCTGCGAAATCTTGCCGCGGCTGAGAACGTATCGGCCGCGCGCCGGTGTACGCAACGCTCGCGAGACCCTCCCGAGACTACGAAGTAGCAGGGTGCGTGCGCGTCTCTGCCAACGAGGAGAACGAGGAGAAATAGTATCAGTTGCGAGCTCCACTCGAGAGATCGCGGCTGCAGTGATATTCCCGCGTCGTCGCGCTGTCGTGTATATACACCCGCGAATTAACCCGCCGCGGCACACATACACACACACACACACACACACACGCGCGCATACGAATCCACCTTCTCCCCTGTTCTCTACTCTCGAGAGACGCCCGACAAGATGGAAGTGGGATCTAATTTGCGCGAAGAAACGCACCGACTCCGACGGGGGACCTCTCGTCGTCGCGGGACCTCGTCGCGGATCTCATATCGAAGATTCTCGAAGAGCGACCACGCTGATGGGCTGATGGGTGTGAGAACGTAAATTTCGAAGAATTGACCGAGATGCGACGCGGTGTATATAAACGACGCGTCAATGATCACCTATCATCACGATACCATTCTATTACGCTACCATGGTACGATGTGTACTAATCGTCGCTACAGTGACGATGTACAATAACGCTCGCTTAAGGGCGATTTACACGATGCTACTTTAGACGCTTGACGCTGGCGCTTCTTTTGTCGCCAGCTTGTCTCGCTTTCCTAGAGCGAATTTCTGGCTGACAAAGTCGCTAGCGTTGGAGCATTTACACGATGCTGATAAACAGCGTTTAGTCGCTAGCGTTTTAAGGAGAATTTTGCGGAAACGGTCAGTTAAAAGGATCATGGCGTCAAGGAATGACACAGTTGAAGCTGCTGTCGTGCTTTTCAAGCGGAAATCCGTGGCGCTCAGTAACAAAATAAAAAAACAAAAAAAAAGAAGAATGCGGGTACGTAAGTGGATAGGTAGAAGATTAACTCATGGAGCATCAAATAATCTTTTCAAAGAATTGGCATTGGAGGATCCAACCGCATAGCGTAAAGTAGTGCGATTAACGTGCGAGAAATTTGAAGAACTTTTGAGAAAGGTGCATCCGCTCGTACAGAAAAAGGGCAGTTTAATGTCGCTTGACGCGAGCGGTAAAGGTTGGACATGTTCAACTTTGCCATAGCGACTAATAGACGCTGCGTCTTCCAAATTTCTGACGCTAGCGAGTACAAATCGAGCGTCTAGAAGAAGTTCTCACCGGCGACTTAAGAAGCTTGCTCAAAGCGAGTAAACGCAGCATCGTGTAAATCACCCTTTAGTCTTGTCGTTCTCCGCATTATGCAGCCGCACTATGACATACGATGGGAATCGTAGAAAATTGCATAACATGTCGCATGTCGTTTGTACGCGTATGTGTGTGTGTGTGTGTGTGTGTGTGTGACGCGAGTATCGACGAACTTTCTTCGGCGTCGTCGCGTTTTTCGCAGGTCCTTCCTGCAGCGGCCGGCACGAACGTCATCGGAGGGATTCATCGATTTGTCCGCACGCGCGCGTGTGTATGTGTGTCTGTGTGTGTGCGCTCGGAAGAAGATCCACGAGCGAAATTCCCGTGGAAGCGCCGGGTCGTCTCGCGAGGGAGCGAGTAAAACGGTAGAAAGGTACAAGCTGCGAAGATATTGTCGGCGTAATACTGTCTCACGTGACGGCGGGCCTTTTACGACGCGAGGTATCGATTTCTTTTTCCGCGTTCACGCGCGATTGAATGGAATTATAACATATCGCTCCGCGATGTATCTCGCCGCGCGTCAAGCAGCGCGTCCCTGGATATGGGTTAATACCCGGAACAATGTCGACGCGAGCGTCGTCGGTGTTTTCTCTCTTTCCCCGTGGATAAGTGGTCCTTTGCATCCGTCGCCCCATTTCTCCCATTTCCTTCTTCTTCTTCTTCTTCTTCCTGTCTTCTCGCAAAAGTCCCCGTACTTTGCGACGAGCGCCGACCCGCTGATACGACGACGAGATTTCGGACGATCGCGCTTCGTCGATCGCGACGCTGATCTGCAAGCCGCGATTGAACGCCGCGAGTAACGTGAACGCGACGCTCGGTCGCGAAAGCTTGCTGAAAGCTCCGCGAAAGCTCCGGGACAGCCGATTCGTACCCGGAAATCAGTCATTGCAACATCGAGCGGCTAGGGTACACGTAGTGTTCGCGCGATTGATGAGAGGACGCGAGCGGAATAACTGCGGATGTAGGTGCCCGTCGTCGATATCCTATTATGTCGGGAACTGAGAGAGAGAGAGAGAGAGAGAGAGAGATGACCTCTCCCTCTATACGTGTGCCGTGTGTCTGTGTCTGTGTCCATGTTCGTGTTCGCGTTTGTGTTCGCGCTCGCGCGACTCGAGGATCGCGCGCGAGATGTGTTTGTCGGCGATTACTTCCCGTCGGATTCCCCGTTCTTTTCTCTCTCTCTCTCTCTCTCTCTCTCTCTCTGTTCCCCTCTCCCCCTGCCCTCCTCCCTGGCCCCTCTTTGTGTTTCCTTCACTTTGCGCTCTCGCGACGCGAGAGTCGAAAACGTGGCTGATAGCCTCGCGGGCGAAAAAACGACGCGTTTCGCGGCGACTACATGCGTTTTGCTGCAATGCGCTCTCTCCTACGGCCGTACGCCGGCGCGCGATTTCCATTCGGGTCGTTTCCGCGTCCGTTTTCTTCCCCTCCCCTCGCCTGCCCCTTTTCTCTTCGTCTCACTCGATGAGAACGTCGGCTCTCGCGTGTGCGACGAGTGTGTTCCTCGGAGCGTGTCTGTATGTGTGTGTGTGTATGTGTGTGTATACGTGCGTGCGTGCGTGTGCGTGTGTGTGTGTGTGTGTAGTTGGGTGTCGTCGTCGCGGGCGTTCTCGGGAGCGATGGGTTTTCGATGTTTGACGAAATGCGAGTTTCTTTCCTCGCGGTGCCTGCGCGGCGCGCGTCTCTTACTCGCTATAATGTGACTTTGTCGCTTCATACGCTCCTTTGTGTGACTCTCGGCTGACGCTCGACGCGCGAGCCGATCTCGGCTCGGCGCGACCGGTCACTCTCAGGTAGAACAGAAAATCGCGATGACATGAAAATGATGAGGGAAACTCTTTTTCTCCTCGTGATTCGGTCATTTTCTCGTCATTTTGACGTCATCATGATTTTTCGTTCTACTTGGGTTATTAGCCCGGGTTGAGAGACGCGCCCTCGCGCGTCATTATTCCAAAGGTGGATCACGAAGGCGACGAAGAGCCTAGGGGAGAACGAGCGCCGAGCGCGGGGGGAAACGGCCCAGGTAGAACCAGAGAATCATGACGAGGGCATGAAAATGACGAGGAAAACTCATTTCTTCATTTCTTCAATTCGGTCCGTTTTCCCGTCATTTTCATGTCATCATGATTTTCTCTTCCGCCCGGGGACGAGGACCAGCCGGCGAAGCGAGTCGGGCTCGCCGTCGAGCGGTCGCGCATTGATATTCACTCACAACACCGGTCCACGTCGCGCAGACACCAGCAGCAGCGGATCGACTAACGTTTAACAGTGACTAACCTTATAAAGCGTTATAAACACCTATGAATAAAGCATCGAGATCTAATTACGCCTAAAACGCCTATTAAATGAGCCTCCCTTCGCAGCGCGGCCACGCGGATTATCCGGCGCGGGATAATCTCGACGGTCGAGATCCGCCGCGCGTCGGATCGATCGATCGATCGATCGATCGCGCGGCGGCCACTTTCGGAAGCGATACGTCGCTCTCACTCCTCTTTAGAAATATTGCTTGGCCAAGCGTTTATTAGTGGTGTTACACGTAAATTGACTAGTACCGTTTTGTAACGTGCGTCTCTCAGACGACCGACAGACTCGAGCCTCCTTCCGCCTCTCGCAGCAACAACCTTGATGGCGAAACCACGGAAGAGAGGACGTACGACCGCGTCGTGCGCCCTCCTCCCCCCCTGCCTTCGGACAGCAAAGCTTGACTTCTATTCTTTTTCTTTTCCTCATTCTCTCTCTCTCTCTCTCTCTCTCTCTCTCTCTCTCTCTCTCTCGATATCGCATACAATATTGACTGAGTATACGTGCCACTTGGTGGCACGGCCTTAACCTTAACGCGGAATATATCCTTTAAATTCGTAGCGGTATCGCGCTCTCGCTTTACAGTCAGTCGACGTACAGCGCACTCGACACTCGGGGGTTACGTGGCGTACAATGAATTCGAGGCACGCGAGAAATCAATCGTCCGTGAATTTTATGCCAATCGTCCGAGCTGTCCGCGCAGACGGAAGCGCCCCAGGCGCTCCGCGGAGAAGCGAGAGAGCGCTTCCGACGGCGAGGGCGGCGACGGCGACGGCGACGGCGATGGCCGCGTTGTGCGATGCCGGTGGGGTGCGTGCGTGCGCGTGTACCGTCGACGAGACGGATCGGAATCGTAACTGATCGGCGAAATGTGGTCAATGCGGGTGTTGCGATAAGAAACATAGCGAAAACGGAGGAGGAGGAGGAGGAGCTCCTCGTGTCCCCGCGCGGAGGAGAAGAAAAGGGAAGAGGAGGAGGAGGAGGGGGAGAAAGAAGCGAGGGCACAGACACGAGGCCGATCGCGCGTGCGCGAGCAATGAATTTGACGGCGGAAGCAACGGAACGGGGCGGGAGGGGGGGGGGGGTGTGCGTGTGCGTGTTCCCCGTTCCCCCCTTCACAGTCTCACCCAACCCCCGAATCTCGAGTACGCTTTACAGAGGTTTTCGTGTCCTCACTTGATCATGATACTCACTGCCGTGGGTCCCTGAGAGATAGCGTTCTCCTTGGAGGCCTCTTCGACCTCCTTGAGCTTCTCCTCGGCCTTACGTTCCTTCAAGGCCTTGAGCAGCTTCCACTTGGACCCGGGCGGGCCAGGACTCACCTGGCCCTCCTTCAATGTCGTGTCCGAGCTTCCGCAGGACGAGGAGTCGATCTTGATCTTCGGTAGACTCAAGGTCGCCGTCGTAGCAGTCTCGGCGCTACCGGCTCCATCGCGCTCGAGGCCTTCAAGGACAGTGCTTTCAGAATCCCAAGCTCCAGGGATGCTGACCGACACTTCGCTAGGTGGTACACTTACGCTACCTTCGCGAGACAGGGAATCCGAGCCCTGCAACACCTTCTCGCCGTCGCGGCGCAACGTCGAGCCGTTGGAGCTGCGTCTTGATTGTTGTTCTTCGAGATCCCTCGGCAGCTCTTCCTCCTCCTCCTCCTCTTCGTCCATCGACTGGCCGGGGCTGTCCGGGCCGGAGGTCTCGCCGGAGGAGCCCTCCTCCGCGGACGGCGGTGGAGGCCGTTCCTTCTCCTTCTTGGCTTCGATCTCGTGCGCCCAGGTGTGGTAGTCGGTCACCCGGGCGAACACGGCCTCCACGCTCTCCGCGGACTTTCGCTTCGGGATCGGCTTCTCGTCGCGGTACCTGTCGTTCTCGTCGACCCGGTGCTCCCTCGCGACCGTACCGTTCATTCTGGCCCGTGACTCCTCCCGCGGCTCCTCCCTCGTCGTCTGATCCTTGGCCTTCGTGCTTATGGCCTTGAGCTTGAGCTCCTTCAGCACAAACGACATTCTCTCCTTCACCTCTTCGTCCGGCTGGTAAGCCTCGTGCTCTTCCGGCTCCTCGATCAGCACCTCGGTCATCTCCATCTCGGACTGTCTCTCCAGCTCCTCGAGTTTCCTCAGTTCGTAGCAGTACCACTCGTCCTCGGAGTCGATCGAGTCCTCGGTGCTCTGCCGTCGCGACGACACTCTCGAGGTGCTTCTGTACGAGTGGGTGCTGCGATTGTCCTCGTCGGGCTCCCCCGGCCGCGAGCCGGTCCAGGGGATCTCCAGGGACTGCTGATGACGCGGTAAAAAGCGGCCGCCGCCGCCGCTCGGCCCGTAGCCCCTCATGCTGGACGCCGAGGGGCTACCCTCCGACGGCGGAGCCTCCTCCGACAGGCTGGTGACCAGCTCCGGCAGTTTCGCGCTGCCGGACTTCTCGCTCTTCTCGCTCTGCTCCGACATGTCCTCCGGATACTCGAAGCTCGCCTCCAGCGGTTGCGCCAGGCCCTCGTCGATCTTCTTCTCGTTGTTGGACTCTTCGCTCGGCGGCTGCTCGTCGGACACCGTCGACGACTGACGTTGACGGTACTTGCCGAGGGCTCGGGAGACCGCGAACTCCATGCTCGAGCCGCCGATCAGTGTGACGGGCGGCAGTTTCGGCGCCTTCTCGTTCGGCGCCTCGTCCGAGCTGCCCGTCGACCTCTTGATGTCGCCGACCGTCTGGAAGATGGACGAGCCGCCGGAGCCTGAGCCGGTGCTCTTGCCGGAGGTCTCCTCCTCGACGATGCCCATCTGCTCGTTCGCGTCGTACTCGTTCGCTTCGACCTTCCTCTGCTCCATCATCTCCGTGCTCCACGTGTCCTGAAGAGCTTGCTGATGCAATTGCTCCTGATGCTGCTGGATTTGCTGCTGAAGCGCCTGCTGTTGCTGAAGCATCTGCTGCTGCTGCTGCTGCTGAAGCGCCTGCTGTTGCTGAAGTGCCTGTTGCTGTTGCTGCAGCGCCTGCTGCTGCTGCTGTTGCTGCAGCGCCTGCTGCTGCTGCTGCTGCAGCGCCTGATGTTGCTGCAGCGCCTGATGCTGCTGAAGCGCCTGGTGCTGCTGCTGCTGCTGCTGCTGCTGCTGCATCGCCTGATGAGCCTGCTGAAGAGCTGCCTGATGTTGTTGCTGCTGCTGCTGCTGCTGCTGCTGCTGCTGCTGGAGATATTCCTTTTGTTGTTGCGCCTGCGCCTGCATCTGCTGAGGATGCGGCTGCTGCTGATGCTGCTGCTGCTGCTGTTGCTGTTGCTGCGCCATCATTTGCTGCGGCGGCTGCTTCCTCTTGGTGCTCGCGGTCTTCACTTTGGCGAAGAAGGGAGGCTCCTGCGCGATGTCGGAGATCACGCTGTCCTCGTCCTCAGACAGGCCGCTCTGTCTGCCGCTGCTCCACTCGGTCTCGGACTGTTCCGGGTCGGACAGCGATTGCGACTGATGGCTGCGACGTTTCGCCTTCTGCAGTATGCCCGACACCGTCGACACCAAGGTGTGCTTCTTCTTCTTTCTCGCCGTCTGGCCCCTGCCGCGGCCTCGGCCGGTGGCCACGTCGGCCGGTAGCCTCTGCTGGCCGTCCTGAGGCACGTCCAGGTCCTCCCTCCTCACGCCGCCCGGCAGCGATTGGCTCCTGTGCCGTTTGCTGAGATGCAGGTCGGGCAGCCAGTTGCTCATGGAGCTCATCGCGTTCTTCAGCGAGGAGCCTCTTCTGACCTTCTTCGACAGCTTGATGTTCTCAGCCTCGTGATCCTTCAGGTTCGTGGCGATGCTGATGTACCCAGACTGAGAGACTATGACGCTCGACGCGTCGTAGTACTCGGCCTGCTGCGTCTGTTGCTGCTCCATGGGTATCCGGCCGCTCTCGTGGTCCTGGATGTACTGATGCTCCCGTTGCCACTGCCGCTGGTAACCGTCCGCGAGCTGCGCGCTCTCGGTGCTGCTGAGTCGCTGGCTGTACGGCTGGTACTGCTGCTGGTAGGCTTGCGGATAATTCTGATTCGCGTAGGTGTGGTGCGGCGGCTGATAGGGGTGCGCTTGATAGGCCGGTGGCTGGGGGTACCTGCGGTCCGTGTACGGGCTCTGAGCGTAGCTGCCGTCCGAGGTGAGCGACCGGATGCTGGAGGACGTGGAGTCGTGCGGTATCTGCTCCTCCATCGAGTTCAGCCACGAGCTGTCGTTCGTCTCCGTCCGCGGCAGGTTCGCGCTGGTCGGGTAGTAAGAGAGCGCGTCGGTGATGTTGCCGGTGGGGAACATCTGCCGGTACATCGCGGCCTTGTAGCCCTCGTGGTTCGGCATGCCGTCCGTGAACGAGCTGCCGCGCAACGGCTTCTTCGCGCCGTGGCCCATCGCGCTCGTGGCCTCCGCGTACTGCAGCACGTTGTAGCCGTCCGGGTAATTGCTGTACTGCTCCATCGACTCGGAGTAGTAAGCCGAGGTGGTGGTCTTGGGGCCGTAGGAGCCGGAGCCGCTGGTGTAGACACTCGTGATGGCCTGCTGCCGGTTACTACCGGCCACGGAGTAGATGGCCGGCTGCTCCGACCTGTACACGTAGTCCGTAGCCGTGACCGCCGACGGCACCGAGTCGTACGTGTGCTGGAGGCTCTGCTGACGGCCGCGCTTCTTGGGACTCTGGCAAGTGGTGGCGGTGGTGCCGGTGACGCCCGGCGGAGCCGGCGCGGGCGGCGGCACGAAATTGTACTCCTCCTTGCCTGCCGGTGACTTGCCGGCGCTCGTGTACCCCGACAGATGGTTCATCGCCGTGGTGTAAGGATGGCTGGTCGTGGTCGTCATGGTGCTCGCGAACGCGTCTCTACCTTCAGGGGTGTCGTAGAGCGGCTCCTGCGTGATGCAGGTCGCGGTGCTGGTGGTCTCCGGCAACGGCGGGATCGGGCTCGACGTTCTCGCGGCGGCGGCGGCGGCGGCGGCGGCGGCGGCGGCCGCGGCGGCTTGCGTGCTGGGTATGAGACTCGCGCGGGTGTGATCCATCCCCGAGGACGAGTAGGAGGTCAGCATCTTCGCGATGGAGCTCTTGGGCGAGCTCGGTGACTTGTCCAGGCTGCTCCAGCCGCTCATGGAGGACAGGCCGGAGTCGGACTTGGCGGCGACTATGTTGGCGGCGCTGCCAACGGACTTGACCGTGTGCTTCGGCGAGACCCTCGGCGACTTGGGCGAGTGGGGAGTGCGCGGGCTTAACCGGCCCTGCTCCATGGAGACGAGTTTCTCGGCGTTTCTCGGCAGGAAACTCGGGCTCTGCGACCGAGCGGGCTTGGTGTCCGCGGGCTCTCGCTGCTCCGCACCGGGCATGAGGAAGGACTCGGTGGTGTCGCGCGGCGCCGGCGGCGGGGGCGAGCTGGGCGACGGGCTCGGGGGTGTTCTGCTCTCCTGGAACTCGAGGTTCAGCCGCGCCGCGCTACCGAAGTAGCCGTCCTGCCTGGTGCGCAGACCCTGGACGCTGTGCACGCTCTGCACGCTGTCCGCCGACAGCGTCGGCGACGGCACCTTGTCGGCGGTGGTGCTGTAGATGGTGGGCGAGGCGCAGGTGACGGCTGCGGCGAAGCTCTCGGCCATCAGGTCCGTCAGCTCCTTGTTCTCCGCGTAGCCCTTGGCGAAGCTGCCGACGTCGATCGGCAGCTGGATCACCGGCTCGGGGCTTTTCTCCAGTATGGCCGACGTGTAACCTAATCTAGGCGGCGTATAGGTAGTCGAGATGGAGTCTAAGTTGCTCCTGGACGTAGAGGTCAGTCTTGGTGATATGGATCTCGTTGTGAAGTCGCCGTCGGTGGCCAGTCCGCTGTCGGTGCTCACTCTGGAGACTGACCTGCCGGTGGAGCCGCCGGGACTCTTGGAGAAGGTCCAGCTGTCGACGTCGGTCTCCGCGTAGATCTTCCTCAATTGCTCGTCTATGCTGCTCGCCTCCTCCGCCAGCTTGGCCTCCGCATCGGACGAGTACTGCCGCTTCGGCGAGTCGATCAGCCGCGACTGCAGCTCGATGAGATTCTGCGAGTCCTTCTGCAGCTTGCTGGTCAGCCGGTCGATCTCGTGCAGCTTCTCCAACGCCACCTGATCGAGCGAGCTCAGTCTGGACAGTTGGGCGAGGTCCTGCTCGCTGACGCACGGCGTGTTGCCTCGGTAGCTCTTATAGTCGGCCGCGCTGAACACCTCGCCCTCGTCCTCGTCCTCGTCCGCCTCGTCTTCCTTCTTCATCGCGGACGCCTGCGCATCCTCCTTGCTCGGCGGCGGCGCTGGGCCGCTCGACAGCTCCTCGACGAGCTCCTTCTCCTTCGGCACGGTCTTGTCGAAGATGCCGCCGGCTTCGACCACCTCCTTCTTGCCGTTCGCGTCCTCGTCCTCGGCCTCCTCCCAGATCATACCCAACTGCGACGTCGGTCTCGACGTGTCGCCGCAGATCAGGTCCTCTCTGTAGGCGTTGTTCAGGCTCCTGTAGAAGGCCTCGTCCGGTATGTTGCCCTCCTCCTCCTCGAGGGTCTCCAGGGTATCGAGATTCCTCACGTTCCTGTGCATGTCGGTGACCACCGCCGCGGCGGTCGTGCTGTCCTGCGTGAGGCCGTGCATCCTCGCGAGCTCCTGCTGCGCGAGCTTCTCTCGCAGCACGGTGGTCTCCTCGATGCCGATCGCCGCGCCCAGGCTCTTGGCGATCGCGTCCAACTCGCCGACCGAGCCCTGCTGGTTCGCCAACGTCTCCTCGACGATGTTCACGTTATCGTGCGTGCCGCCGCTGGTGTAGAACTCGATCAGCTGGCTGATCACCGTCTGCTGCTCGTACAGCAGGCCCTCCAGCTTCTCCAGCCGCTCCCACATCTTGATGTACTCCTGACTCAGCAGATCCAACGCCCGCCACGCGTACTTCAGCTCGGTCTCGAGGATGTTGAGCCTCGTGCCGAGTCTCTCCATGTAATCGCCGATGATGTAGTCGATGTTCCCGTCACCGGCCGCGGCGTAGCTCGGCAACACCGGCGAGTGAGCCCGCGGACTGCTCGGCGCTGGACCGCCCAGTTTCGTCGAGTCCATTTTGCTCGGCGGTGATCTTGTTCGCTGTCGCGCGCGCGCGACCCGCTTCCTCGTTTCGGCTTTCCCGTTTATCCTCTCCTCCTCTCCGCGTGCAGTCGCTCGCTCGTCTCTTTGTCGTTTGTCGTTTGTCCTCTTTGTCCTCGTGCTCGCCGCGTCGGAGCTCGTTGCGCGCTTGTTGCGGTTGTTACACACCTAAGTTTCTACCTGAGGCGCGATCCCTGACGCGGTTTCGCATCATCCTCGACGTCTCGAGGCTCGCGTCCGAATCGAGTCACACCCGGCCGCGTGGGCCAAGGAGGAACATGGATTGCGGCGCGGCGAACCTCGCGGTGGCCGTCTTAGCGTCTTCTCTCGCGACGATCTCCTCCATGCCGACTCGGCTCCCGTCGCGTCGTCTCCCGGCGCGTGGTTAGCTTCTCCCCTCACATGTCGCACACTCGTGTGCAACTCTGAGCGAGTCCCACCCCGGGTGACTCTCCGATCAGCGATCACACTCCCGCGTAATCTACATGTATCGAGTCGGGAGACAGGCTCGCCGCCGCCCACCTCCGCCGCGGGCCCTTCTTCGTCCCTCAGCCGTATCTCTACACGGACTACACTGCGCGCATCAGGCCGCGTGCGCGAGCCTGACGGAACGTTCGAGATCGCGCGACACCTCGCGAATGGCACTCGATAAGCAGTCTCGCACGTTCATGCCGCCGTCGCTGTTATCTGCAAAATAGCAAAAAACACCAACCTCCGTTGGCGGCTCGGCTACCTGATACCACACCGAGAGCACCGAGCCGAGCGCCGGAGCCAACGGCCGGTGTGCAGCCGTTGCAGTTTCCATGGTGTGTTTGCGCGATCGAGGACATGTGTGCGTGTGCGTGTGTGTGTGTGTGAGTGCACGTCCTGATGCAGGATCGCGCGATAGTCGCAAAGTCGGGAAACATGCCGAGGCGTTTGCTCTCGCGCATCCACGTAACGAAGGAAAATCCACGAGTATTTCAAGTATAACCAAGCAAGCGAGCGAGCAAGTAACCACCAACGCGAGCGTGAGAACCTAAAACCCTGGCGGATGAATAGACAATCCGTTCAATCAGGATATACGGCACTCTTAATTCGACGCTCTTAGATCCTTACAGAGTGTCTCCGCAGAAACTTTTGCGTCCAACTGGCCCCGATTCTCAGCTATAAGCGAGTCGCGGCGGACGAACTGGGAGAACTGGGCACTGCCTCCTTCTCGAGATCGAGTCGAAGTATCCCGAATCGAAGATATATCCGCATCTCCATAAATATCGCATCGCGTGCACGACGGGCGGGATCGAGCGAAGCGCTGTAATAATTTATGAAAATCGAGAGCGCGCCGGGATTCTCGAGAGGAGCCGCGCGCGCTCCTTATCGATCACAGTGTCCTGCCGCTCGCGCGCGTATCGCCCGGGACGATCGGAATAACCGCGGCGACCCAAAAACCAACGACGCTCGGTGATCGTATCTCCGCCATCCGTCCGTTCGTCCGTCGACAATCCTCGGCGGAGGGTTCATCGCGAGTCGCCCTTTGTCAACGTTATCGCCCCGTCGCGTGCATCCCGATACCGATTCGTGCCGCCGCGCCGCCGAGCGTGCCAGCGACTCGCGAGGATCATTTTTCGTCAACGACGAAATCACCCCGCCCGCGCCGCGGCCGTCCCGCGGCGATGACAGCGGTCGATGACGCGTCGCTTAACGTCGGCAGCCTCGGTCTTCAAAGAGCTCGACCTAATTCCGCGCGCATTATGCGCGTCGTTGTCCCAACGACCTCGCTCGGCTGCGACCGACCGACTCTCCTCTCTCTCTCTCTCTCTCCTCTGAGACGCTCTGCGAGACGTTGCGCATTTTATTTCGCTGATAATCGACGAAACGTCGGCGAACGTTCGTGAGCATTAGCATCTGAGATCGCTCGATCGACTGTTATTCCGGCGTATCGAGCTCGAGAGGGACGAAGGGCGCCGAAAGGGGGAAGAAGGGAAACGACAATTGGCACGATAACGCGCCTGAGAATTCTCAGGCTCTCGCTTCTCTCCTTTACTCTCCTCTACTCCGCGGCGCGGCGTATCGAGCGTTTCTCACTCGACGCTCGAGCGCCGCCGCCGGCGGAAACGGATGTGCGCGCGCGCGCGCGCGCGTCCGCAGGAATGCGCTTCGACATGCTTCATCGCGGCGCTAATAAATGATTTGCCGGATTTCGCGAGATTCCAACGGAGCCGGCTGGTTGCACAGCGGTAGAGCTGTCGCTCGCTGTATCGGACTTTATCATCCCCGTGACGGGGGATCGGGGGACGGGGCAGGGCGGGCGGGCGGGCGGGTCGGGATCTCTTTACATTTCGCCCGTGCTCGAGATTTATCCTCGTCGTTTCACGTGCCGCTAGCTTCCTATCGGCTTCCTTCCGCTCGAGCGAACAGCAGCGGCCGCGGCCGCTCGCGGCCGCCGCGCGCAGAAAAGAATAGCGTCGCGACGATATTGCACTAGAGATATACCGCGCGGCAGTCTCCGCGCCGGATCAAAGTGGCAATTCACGAGAGTTGCATCACAAAGGAGGCGGAACGATGCGCATGCACAATGTCGTCGTCGTCGTCGTCGTCGTCGTCGTCGTCGTCATCGTCGTCGTCGTCGTGTTCGCCGTGGCGAGAATCCAGCTCGCCGCGGATTCCTACTGTTTGCAAATATTTCCCCGTCGACGCGCCCCTCACGGGGAAAAGTGTCGCGTCGATCGGGAAACAAGGTTATCGCCCTGTCATGGCATCACCGTCGCGGTCGCGCCGCGTCGAGCTGCGCGCCGGCGATGCGATTGAAAATTGCCACCGTCGCAATTAACGACTATTAACGCGCGATTTCGGGGCGCGACGCTTGCGTGTTTCTTTGTTCTCCGCAGCGGCGCGTTATCTTTACGCGTCGCGTCGACGTCGCCCGCACCAGCGACGGCGACCAGCGGAACGAGCGGAGCGAACGCGCGAGGACTCGAATCCGCTATCGATCGCGCCTCGCGCGCATCGTAAGGGCCATCACACACAAATGAACGTAAGCGGTAAAGCAACTGACCAATCACAATCAATTATTCTCGTAAGTTTTAAAAGGGCGTCCTTAAATTTCGATTGCGATCGGTCGATTTGCTTACTGCTTGCGTCTTCCCGCTTAAGTTCGTTCGTGTGTGATGGCCTTGACGGCCTTTACTCGACTGTTTGTTAAACGTTACACAGGCCCGCGCGCGCAGCTCGTAATACGATCGCCATTCAGGTGACGAGCGGTGAACGAGAGACTGAGGGAAGTTCAGTATCGCGTGAGCTTGACATTTTTCACGTGAGCCGTCGCACTCATTACCGGCGTGGAAAGCGCCGTTCGATACTCCAACCGGCGGCGGCGGAAAGTCGCCGTCACGTTTCGCTTCCGCGGCATCGTCTGTGTATAATACTGTCCCGCAAGAGAGAGAGAGAGAGAGAGAGAGAGAGAGAGAGAGAGAGAGAGAGAGCGGGAGAGAGGAGGGGAGGGAGTGAATGAAAAGCAAGCCGCGGCGAATCTCGGCCGTGGACGTTTTCCAGCTGTTTCAGACTTTAGCGCCGTAAGCCGACTTAAGCCGGCAGTTAATTCAATTAAGAAGGGAAATCCGGCGGCGCGAATCGGCGACGGAAAGTCCGACGGATATCGCTGTGCCGCGACTTCTGTGCAACAAGTCACGTCGTCGTCGTCGTCGTCGTCACCGTCGTCATACGTCGCGGCCTGTTGAATGGACTTCATTTTGCAGGATCACGCGCCCCAAAACGGCGATCGGTGAATTGATACCTTCGGCCCCTCGGATACAATCGGATTTGAGGAATCTCCCGGTGCTCGGCCATTGTGCCCGAGTTTCCACGTCACGCCTTTGAAAGAGGCTTTCGACGGGCTCGCCGGCAAAGTAGATAAAACGACGACCGGCCGGCCGGCCGAGCCGACGGCCGCTCGGATGCTGGTTCGGCGTTGCCCGGGGTCGCGGGGGAGGGGAAGGAAGGGCGGGGGACAGAATTTATTATACTTTGCATGCGCGGAGAGGATGCTCGCTCGACCGCGCAAAATTCGGGCAGCTCTCTCTCTCTCTCTCTCTCTCTCTCTCTCTCTCTCTCTCTCTCTCTCTCTCTCGGAGTGCCTAATGTTTTTTCGCCGCGCTCGAATTCGCCTCGCTCGTAAATCACGCGCGGCGGAATCCCCCTGCCTTCCTGCCTCCTCTCCTTTTCGCCGAAAGAAGCGAAGAAAGAAGCGAATCCGTCCCCTTTTTCCTCCTGTTCGCCTGTTTTCGACTCGCCATCGCGTCGCCGTGGAAAACGCGGGGAGGATTTACGCGCTCTCGAACGGCTGACGTGCCGATTACTCGCGGTCGACCTCTGTCTTGCTCGATAATTTCGGCGCCGAGCGAGCTCGCATTTCGCCCGTCACCGTTCCGACGGGCGAAATAACGGGCAAAGTGGTTTCAGCGTCGGCGTAACATCTCGTCAAGAGGGGAAAACCTTTGCTCGACCGCTTCCGGATGCCGTAGACGACCCGTAACCTTGTTAAAAGACGGCCGAGATTATTTCACGACGCGTCGTGCGCCGCGAAAAATGGGAACGGCCCCGCGGGATTTTGCAATTTACGTCGGGCTTTTCTCATGCGCCTGCTTGCGCATGCGGCGAAAATTTCCCTTTGAAACAGCCGCGCGCGAGGAAGCCGTGCCGGAGAGTGCCTTCGAGGCCGCTTGAGGACGACGAGAGGCAGAATTGCTCGCTCTCGTGTAATTACCGGCGCCGCTGTCGCGCGAAACTTTAGGAGGAGAGACGAGCGCGCGCGCCGGGCCCGTAAATCTCGATATTCAATTTCGCGGTGACACGGCGGCCGCCTTGCTCCCAACTGATGCCCCCTTTTTGCTACGATTCCTCGAGCACGAGCATCGCGACAAAGGACAAGCCTCGCGCGATCACACGTGTACTTGGGGATCGCGGAAGCGAGACGAGTCGATGTGATTTAAAATTTACTTTCCCTCTCTCTCTCTCTCTCTCGCTTTTTCTCGTTTTTCTTCCCCTATTTTCGCATCACGTAAAAAGAACATTTCCCCGCGTACGCTCCCCACCAGACGGTGCGTCCTTGACGCGCTATCCACCGTGCGGCAACACGAGCGCCTTATCGGGATAATCGCGGTGCCAGCAATTAACCTCGCACACAGCGCGCCGGGAAATTACCCGGCGCTCTCCGACCCCGCATTGCAGCCCCCGTTGCAGACGAAAGTTTCGTAACGACGCTCGAGCCGGCGGCGTTTTTGTCGCTCCGCAACACGGCCCCCTCTCTCTCTTTCTCTCTCTCTCTCTCTCTCTCTCTCCCGCTATTCTACCTCGTATCTTTTTATCAGCACCTAAGAACTATGTAGGTCGAAGGTTGCGCCGGAAACGGGATTCCAGGCAGACCGATTTAATCCCATTTCCGACCGGGCGGAAGAGAAAATGACCTCTCCCCGAAGCTCCGCGGATGCGGAGTCGACGATGTTAATTTATACCGCGTCCGATGCGAGTTTTTCAAGAAGGACGCATCGTCGTCGTCGTCGTCGTCGTCGCGTGGGCATACAAGCGAAATTAATCAGCCGCTGCCGCTCGAGCAACAGGTCTCGACTGTTCGCCGTTTGGTATCATTAATAGTCCCGCGAAAGCGTTTATCGCGCAACGGAACGGCGCCGCCATTCACCCCCGTCGCGAGA